TCATCTAGTTCAGCTGCCGGCGGCGTGCCTTCTGCAGCGCGACGGCGGGAGCTTTACGGGCTTGAGGTCCCGGTCGGGCCTGTGGGCTCACGGGCCTGGTATGCTACTATTGTTGCGCCCGATCGGTTACCGTCGTTGACGGTGGACGTTGGGCCCTCCCGTGCACTGACGATGCTGTTGTCCCTAGTCCCGGCTCCTCTTCTTCGTTGAGCAGGCCCCTTTCGCGGTGCCGTGGTGAGACGACGCGGAAGCTTCAAGACCGTTTTGGCGCAGAGTGGTGATTTGTTTGGTGGCGTGCTTCAGAGCGCCCGAGGTGAAGGTTGGGATCGGGATAGATCCCTGTCGGCCGAGCTGACACCGATGCGGTGGTGCCTGAGGGTATCGCCGGAGCTTCCTGGAGGGCGTCGGGGGGGTACCCTTCCTCTCTCCTCGTCGCGTACCAGGGAAACTCTTGGCAGCAGCGTCGTCATCATCGCGTCCCTTCTTGGAGGTGTTGATTGGTACCAGCACTTCGGAGTATAGGAGCTTGGTGGAGGATCCCCGGTGGGCGCAGCGGTCGCGAAGCTTCTTCATTTTTGTTGATCCGCCGGTGTCGGCATTTGTTTATTTTCTTTTTCTCTTTTTTTTTCTTTTGTGCGTGCATGTGCTGCTTCCGCCCCAACACCTATCTAGTTGTATCGGTGATGGTTTGCTTTGTAATACAAAGGGGGGAAACCCTATTTCGTCAATTGCCTGCCCACCCTCCCTTTCGTGCGTTTCACGCGCACCAGATTTTTGCCCTACGAGGATGATGAGAAAGGATGGGAGCATGCACGTTGGGTTAGATGAAAAATGATCACTACAAACACTTACATTACGTGAAGAACCTTCGATTTACAATATCGAAACCACACCCACCCACCCCGAGAACCCTTTTTTTGTGTTCGAGAACTTTCTCTGTAGGATGAACCTTACATATCCGCACAAGGGGGGCCCTCCCTTTGTGGGTTTCACGCGCACCACATTTTTCGCACCACGAGGATGATAAAAATATTAGTTTAGATGAAAAATGATCACCGCAAAACGCTTACATTACATCAAGAACCTCCGTTTTATATTGTCGGCACCATGCCAACCCACCACGAGGAATCTTTCTTTGCGGAACCGGGCGACGTCACACGGAGGGAGGAGTTGGATTCTACATGAAGAACCTTCAAAAACTACACTTCGAACTGAAATACAATTTGCAAAGAATCGGCGTTCCACATCTTGGAACCGGGCGACGTGACACGGAGGGAGAAGGTGTGTTCGCCATGAAGAACCTTCAAAAACTATGACTCAAACTGAAATATGGTTTGCAAAGAACCGATGTTCCACATCCATGGAACCGGGCAACGTGACACAGAGGGAAGAGGTGTGTTCGCCATGAAGAATCTTCAAAAACTATGACTCAAACTGAAATATGGTTTGCAAAGAACCGATGTTCCACATCCATGGAACCAGGAGACGTGACACGGAGGGTGGAGGTGTGTTCGCCATGAAGAACCTTCAAAAACTACACTTCAAACTGAAATACGATTTGCAAAGAACCGGCGTTCCGGATCTACGAAACCAGGGGACGTGACACAGATGAAGGTGGTGTGTTTGCCGTGAAGAAACTTCAAAAATACAATTCAAACTGGAATACGATTCACAAAGAACCGGTGTTCCACATCAACGGAACCGGGCGACGTCACACAGAGGAAGGAGTTGGGTTCTACACGAAGAACCTTCAAAAACTACACTTCGAATTGAAATACGATTTGCAAAGAACCGATGTTCCACATCCATGGAACCGGGCGATGTGACACGGAGGGAGGAGGTGTGTTCACCATGAAGAACCTTAAAGAACTACAACTCAAAGTGAAATATGATTTGCAAACAACCGGTGTTCCACATCCATGGAACCGGGGCGACGTGACATGGAGGGAAGAGGAGGGTTCGCCTCTCCCCCGTCAGCGCGGCAAGGACGCCGGCGCTGGCTACTCCCGGCCCGCGCTTCGCTCGGGTGGGATGCTCCGTCCGTGCCTCCCCCACGCCATCTCCTGCCCCCATCGACTGCTGCTCCCCCACACGGGCAGCGGTGGGTGCTTGTGCCCGCCCCGCCGGCCCGGACGCGCATGCTGGAGTCGAAGGCGTGCGCCGCCCATCGCGAGAGGCAACGAGCAAGGGAGACGGATGCATCGGGGAGCTCTGTGGCCCGATGAGGACGACGGCTCCTCGTGTGGGTCTACCACCGGTCACTTACGACAGCGGAGATGGATGCTCGGCGGCTCCGCCAGAAGAACGCGAAGGCTCTCCGGCTAGTTATCGAGCGGTCCGAGCGCGAGACAAAGGACGACGTGAAGCGGAGGCAGCTCGGGTGGCGAAGCTCAAGCACCAGTAGGACTGGGTCGTGTGATGCCTCAAGGGCCTACAACTGCGCCATCCTCCTCCGACTTGGACGATCCTCCACCATCCGCGGACGGCTACAGCTGCGCCGGTGATCGAAAGGGGAAGGGGACGGCCTGTAAGTGGTGAAGATCCGCTTTTCTTTAGTTCAATTTCAAGTTTTAGATGTAGTTTCAAGTTATCCGTTGTTTATGTGAATTTTGGTGGTCCTCTGAACATCCAATCGTGATCTTGTTGTGAAAGTATTGTGCTTGCCTATGTCCGTTTGCTGATTACGTAGTTTAATCGAAGTTGCATGGTTTAGTATGGATATAGAGGAACGGATATGAGATACACAAGCATGAACAATACTATTTAAAAGTGCCCGATCACTGTCGGCGAATTGTCCAGGCATTTCCGCGGACGTTTAACGAGTCATATTTATCATATGTGAATGTAAATGCTCTAATGGGGCCAAGAATCTTTAAACTAAACTAATATAGTATGAGAGTTGATATAAAAATAATTTACCAACCATATATATATATAGATTCATCTAATCACCCAGAGGCCGTGACCCTATCATGCATTGCTGTTCTGGGTTCGGCTCTCTGCAGTATAGTATAGTTAATACTTAATACTGCACGCGTGTTGTAGCTGCTAGGATCAGCCGTCTATTTTAATCCTATATATGGCTCTGCAACGAGGAACTGCTGGTCTCATAAATAAAAAAACTATACTGTCTTATCCCTTTCCTCTAGTGAAGCTCGGCCACTGTTTCTTCCTCTAGTGAAGCTTGGCCACCGTTTCCCCAAATCCACAAGACTGCTCCACCCCGGCCGAGCCAGCTGCAAGGGATGGCCGGAGGGCTGCTGCGAGAGCTGACTGGAGACGGCGCAGCTTCACCGCCACACGTATCCCGCTGCTAGCAGCAGGGAGACGGCGAAGTACACAAGCAGCAGAGCAACGACGAGATCTACGAGCCTGACGACAACGGCAAGCTGGAGCCTCCTCCCAACGAGCTCGAGAAGGAATACGACGCCGGCGATGTCCCGGAGCAGCACGGCCGACCTGGACGAGGATGAGGGTAGCAACCAGACGAGGGGCATGCCTGGGCCGCCGTGCTATCTTACGGCTGCACGGGGCCTCTGACAGCAGGGTCGCGATAGCTGGACCTCGGCGCCCTCCTGCCTGGCCAAGCCCCAGTAGCAAAACCAAAGGTCAATTACTTCTTGTTACCTAGAACTAATTTATTCCTTTCTTCATCATTAGTTCATACCGTACTGCTGCTATTTCTCGATGACCCAGGCGTGAAAGCATAGCAAGAGAGAGCTGAGCATGTCATTGGAATATTTAAAAGTGATAAGTACTCAACAGATCATTGTTGCAATTAAATGAAACTAAACTGATTGTTCTGTCTTCGGAAACTAGGAGTCAATTGAAATTAAACCAATTGAAGTAGTGAGCACTCAACAGATTGGGTCTCATGTATGCTGATTCAGTTATGCCTTCTGCATAATCTCATCTGGCAAGACAACATAACAGACATGCATCAACCTATCGTTATATCCCAGGATAGTTTTATAAGTTCCAAAGATCACCAGCTTCACTCTGCAAATTAAAGGGAGATATAACTAATTAATAAAAAGTCATATTGTTTACCAACGAATTTAAGGAATGTTAGACATGATAAGTGGAAATACCGTTAGTAGACGAGCATAGTACCCATATTCTTGCAAACCATTTGCATTTGTTCCAGTCATTTGCTCTATAGGTGCTTGATACTGTGCTACTGGAATGTCATTCTTTCCTCTATATGCAAACATAAAAACAAAAATCAAAACAAATATTAATTGACTTGTTACTATATCAGTCTATTAAATAAGTAGTGTAGTTAGATAGGTGCAAGAGATTTACAGAATGAGTTTGATTTTTCGGTACTGCTATAGTTGTCTCCTTCTTTTTATTGGGGTGCTGGTTGCCAAGCCATGTTTTCTTTCTTCTTGAATTTTTCTTCGGAATTTCCTTTTTCTTTAGGGAAGCATCCTTTAAACAATCCTCTGGTTCTTTAGATATATCTTCAGTTCTGCATGTAGTAGTGCGAGTTTTCTCTTCAACTTGCTTCCTAAGAATCCTCAAAGCATCATCTACTAGTTTGATACACTCTTCTGATGTTACTGCTTGTGAAGCTATGCCAAGGAACTCGTGCATGAAAAACTTCAACTGTTGTCTATCTTCTGATCTAGGATCTTCCAAAACAATGTTTCCATGGCTGTTTTCAATAGTGCCGCTTCGCGCTTCTCGAGTCCATCGCTTCAAAATATAGTGGCCTGGAAGATACTTAATATTCATGACATCAAGGGCTTTCAAAGCATGACTACACAATATACCAACTCTTTCAAATTGCCCACAATTGCAGCAAACTTTTTGCTCTTCATAATCAACTAGTACTTTGCACTCTTCTTTATATGGGAATTCTGGGTCAAGACTTGCAATTGCAACAGTATATGCATTGTGTTCTTCCGATGGCTTGATGTATGCTGAGATGGATCTTTCATACTCATTCTGAAAATCTTCAAATATGCATGGTGTGTAAACTTTGCTAGCTTGTATTACCATAGGAGTCCTCATTCTGACTCTAGGTAATTTTTTCCTAGACTCGTATTCCTCATTTACCTCGTTATCTCTTTTTCCTTGCACAACCCTCTCTACGTGCTTGAAAAACCAAAGGATGTCAAGAGCATATTTTAGATGGTCTTTCAAGTCACTGTTCAAGCTCTCACTTAATTGTGTGCTTCTCATGCCTATAGTGTAAGCATTCCTCATGTAACATCTTGCCCATTTCTCTTTTACTTTGTAGATACTGTCCAACCAAGTTTGAATTTTCCACATTGCTTCTTATGGCATTGAAAGCTTCTTCAAAGGCTTCCTCTTCCTCATACTTGTACATGCAAGCACTGAAATCAGCAAGTACATTTGGTCCTTCCTCGTCTTTTTTCTTATGAGGTAAGTGTCTGATGGCATTTTGCATTATGTGAAAAGTGCACAAGCCATGCCATACTTCGATAAATACTACCCGAATTGCATTACCCATTGCTACATCTTGATTAGTAAAGATTGTTCTAGGTTGCTTTTTGTTATGCACTGATAGGAACGTGTTGAACAGCCATTTGAATGATTCAAATGTCTCATCATATAAAAGTGCAGCACCAAAAATGACCATTTCTCTAAAATGGTTGAAGCCAACAAACACACCGAAGGGTCTCTACTCTTTGTTTGTCCCAAATGTTGTATCGAAGGTAACAACATCACCGAAATGAGCATAGTCAATGATCATCCTTGCATCAGCCCAAAAGATATTTGCTATATTTTCATCACAATCTAGTTACATGTCATATTCAAATGCAGGATTCTCATTCTTTTTATCTCTAAAATACTTGAGCATACTTCCAGCTTCACCATACATCAAGTCCCTTTGACGCCTGGTTCGCAAGTGGTTCTTGCGATCACGACATGTGTAGCCAAGGTTCAGTGGACCACCAACTTGTCGATTTGCTAACTCATGGGCTTTTTTAGGTACAATTCCTGAATCATCCGCTGTTTCAATTTCAAATGCTTGCAAGGCCGAAATTTTCCTCTGTGATGGCATCAAGTGGCTTGCCCCAGGTAATTGCAACACATGGTTGTGTTCAACAACTAACTCATGCACCTCATAATTTCCTGCTTCTCGGTCTATAGTGATTCCCATTCGAACATTGTAGCCGGTCCTTGTTTCTGCACGAGGACGCTTTGTATTATTATCCCTTTTGTCTTTTCTTCTGTAGCCCTCATTGGAACAAACATATCTTGCTGAAGTGATTACTCCATCGAGTTTGCTCTTGTTTTCATAATTTATCCTTACATCAAAACCAATATGACCTCCATAACATGTCCAAAAGTTCCAAGCCTCTTTTGTGGAATTAAATTTCATACAAATCTGAGGCATCCAACTAGGAATCACATTTGTCCTATAAAAATTACACATAACTTATTTGTTTGTATGCTTACACTACAATCATAAGGTGATATGACATGAGAATTTAACAAAATTGTCGGTACCTGTTAGCATCCTCATTAGAGGTAGTCATATTCTCCATTGGACCTTCTCTTCTCCTTTTTGTGTAATCTGTGATATCATAGCAAACTCAGTCCAAAAATTCCCTTGCTATCTTGAGAACATTAATACAGTCATAGTAAATATTTGGATACATTCATGCATTTTATCTTGAGCTAGTCCAAAACAATAGAGATCACCTCTATTAAAATTATTTCTTTTCACTCTAACATACTCTAAAAGATACAGAAAATAAGTTTTGCATCTTGTCCTTATCATCCTCTATTAAGAAAATAGTAGCATCACAAACTCAATCTACGAGTTGTGTGCCTTGAGAACATGAATACAATCAGAGTGTATGTCACATACCTTCTGATTTATTGTCTTGTTTTTTGTTGCTAGTAGAAGGAAGACAAAATGGAGATAATCTGCATCGCCTACAGATCAGCTTGCCTTGGTTTCACTCTGAACATGGGGGACGATCAAAAGAGAGATAAGGCAAAAGGGAGTTTTTTTGAAGGGAGGCAAAAGGGAGTTTATCTCGCCACCTAAAGACCACAGATGAACGTACCTCCGCTGTGTGTCGTGGTTCTAAGTCTGACAGTAGAGTGGAGGGTAGGTATTGAGAGGCAAGGTCTTAGCTATGGAGAGGTTGTAAACACAAGAGATGTACGAGTTCAGGCCCTTCTCGGAGGAAGTAAAAGCCCTACGTCTCGGAGCCCGGAGGCGGTCGAGTGGATTATGTGTATATGAGTTACAGAGTGCCGAACCCTTCTACCTGTGGAGGGGGGTGGCTTATATAGAGTGCGCCAGGACCCCAGCCAGCCCACGTAGGAGAGGGTTTAAGGTGTGTTAAGTCCGGGGCGTTACTGGTAACGCCCCACATAAAGTGTCTTTACTATCATAAAATCTACTTAATTACAGACCGTTGCAGTGCAGAGTGCCTCTTGACCTTCTGGTGGTCGAGTGAGTCTTCATGGTCGAGTCCTTCAAGTCAGTCGAGTGAGTCCCTCGTAGGTCGACTGGAAGGTGATCTCTTCTAAGGATGTCCCTGGGCGGGGTACTTAGATCAGGTCTGTGACCCTACCCTAGGTACATGACTCCATCACCGTGTTCATTTACAAGGACGAACAAGAGGAACGGGGAAGATGAGCAGGACGAAGGCAAATAGATCGCTGTTTGTTGCCAACGCGATTATTAGGGTGGTGTTTTGTTTGGCGCCAATGTGAGTCTTTGTGGTTCTGTTTGGCGCCAATCTTGCAACCGAACGAGATTTTCTACCACATAATTAGGTGTTTGTTTCCATTTACTAACAGAATCGAGTGGAGGTAATGAGAGCCGTGAGATTTAAATGAATGGCTGATGTGGGTTGGTACAGTACCCGTGCAGTAATAACGTGACTGCAGAGGAGCCGAACACTGCTGTTCCTCCCCCAGAAAAAGTATCCTTCCTTCCTCCCCCTGTCCAGCCGGCGTGACCCCCATCCCTTCTACAAACTGCCCCGGCCTCGGCCACGAGGTCATCTCCTCCCTCTCATCCATCAGATCCAGCCGCCCTGGGCACGACCACGAGCTCGTCCTCCTAGATCTGCTCAAGGTCGATAAGTCCGCACCGTCGCCGGATCTGGTCCTCCTCGACCTCCGCCGAGCACAGCAGGTCCACGAGGTCGTCGTAGTGGGATCCCCACCACCGCCGCGTCCTCTCCTTCATCGGCCACCACTCAGGTGGCTGCTTCGGCCCTATTTGCGGTGTAACCGGTGTTCGTCGAGGTTCGTGCCGCTACGCGTGCGTCGGCCGCCGAGCTCACCTCGAGCAACTCTGCTGCCCACTACCACTAGGACGGTCACGACCTCCCTTCCCCATCATCCTATGGTGGTTGCCGAGCTTTCCCTCTAAACTGCAGCTTTGGTTTCTTTTTGTTTATCTCTTTGGCGACCGCTTCTGTCGTTTTCGTGATCCAGTTGCTTCTGGATGTATGGATTTTTTTATTAGACTCATGTGTGCGTGGGCAAAACCTTATGAATTAATTATCCTCATCTAATCAGCACTCGACTTTGTAGAGCTAGCTTTCTTGATAATAATACAATGCGGCCCGCCTCACCCTCTTCATCTTCTGTTGCTCCTACGCTTCCTTATGTTCTGATCTGGAATTTTTTGGTCATTTTAGAAGATTGTTGAAGTACAGTGCATCTTGGCTTGCCCAGCTAGCGTGCTGTTTTTCAGTACACAATACTAATAACAGATACTTTTGCAATACTACCATCGATTTTTGTGCAGTTTCCACATGTGTGTCTCTGCGCGCGCAGAAATTTTATTTATTCCTTGTTGAACTTGTTGAAGCAACCAATGGAGCAGTGTTTTCTCTTCTCTTCAGATCTCCAATCTGGATCTCGACCTTTTCTTGCCTGAACTCAGCATTTTTTGGGTGTCATTAAGCCTTGATGAGGTTTTGGACGATTATACATGTGTGAATCTTATTTTCCTCATAACCATTAAATTTTCACTCATACTCTAGAAACCATCATGCCCTGTGGAATGTAGTATGATTCCAGATGCTATTGGTGCCTACAGAACTGCTTTGGACTTCTTTACTTAAAAAAAGAGAAGCGCTTTGGACTGCAGGGAGTACTTAAAAAAGAGAACCGCTCTGGACAGCGTAGTAAACTGCTAGAGTGTGACACGTTGGAAAACGTATTCATGGTTGAACACGCGGCTTTTCCTCGCGAAAACAAATTCATGGTGCCGCAATTCCATTACCGGTGTGAACGGTGGAGCACCGTCCTACCTTTTGCTAGACGAAAAATGACAGGACACGTTGCAGTCCAATTCCTAGTTCCATAAGGTGCCGAACCTTTTGACCAGATAGAAATGGCAGTTCTTACAATGAGCGTCCTTCATGCCGGACCAAGAACTTTCAGTAAATTGCCACCGTCTGTCAAATTTGTAAGATACCCGAAGTAGCTCATGTCGCGGTCTGCATTTTCAGAAACGCAAAGCTGCTCCTACTCTGACTGCGCATGCCATAGCCACAGAGTAGGTTGCCATCTTCGGGCCTGCCACCACAGAAAGGTCTAGCTGACCATTCCTAATATGCCATGGCGAAATTCAATAATCTAGAAAATCGAAACCTTATCCACCTAAAAGTGCGGATCCTAAAGCCAACCAACGGTTCCGATAACAACCACTAGAGCTAGTGTGGGTAGCAAATCCATTCCCTATATATATGTGCCCCCTTTAGTCGCTATTGGAGCCACCAACCGGGACTAAAGGTGGTGTGCTGCCAGGCGAGGGGCGCGGTGGATGTTTAGTCCCACCTCGCTAGTTGAGAGGAGCCAGCACCTGTTTATAAGCCCCGACGCAGCCACTGCATCAAAATCCTCTCTAAAGCAGGCCTTCTGGGCCTACCTTACCTGCGCTGCCCTTTTGGGCCTACTGGGCCTTGTGAGCCTGCATCCTGGACCAACTATAACTTGGTTTCTAGTCGTATGCAGGCTGTTGTGGCCTAGTAGGTGGGCTTTTTTTTCATTTATTTATTTTTCATTTTTTTGTTTTCTCCTTTATTTTTTTGTTTTTGAGTTGTTTTTTGATTTATTTAGGATTTTTTAGTGAATCTTCTTTCTTTAGGTCTCAAAAATTATATAATTTCTGTTAGTGCCGGTAGTTTTCAAATTTGGATAGTTTAAATTTCAATTATTTGAAAATTTTGTGAATCACTAGTTTGTGAATAACTTTACTTTAAAAATAGATTTTTCAGTGATTCTTTTTATGTTATTTAATATTAGTGTGTTTTATCATTATATTCAATTTGGTAATTCTTATGTTATTTAAAAAAATGAAATGCCTTTGTAACAGATGAGTTTTCGTCGGAAACCCTGATACTTCGAAAGAGATTGTCCATTTTGTACACAAAGTGCATCCAGTGTTTGCCGTAACCCACTCAACTTTTTAGCACATGCTAAGTGGGTAAAATGATGATACCAATGCCAACTGTCAACCTTTTCAGAGTTCATTTGTAGTGCTTTTCCATTTTAGGGTCGTTTAGCTCAAAAAGTTACTAAATGCATGAAAAATAGCAAATGAAGTCAGAAAGGGTTAAAAATTGATCATGTGGCTTTCAATGGTGCATACTGAATGCAAAAAAATGCTGGAGTTGAAATAAGTTTGAAAAATGAAATGCCTTTGTAACAAATTAGTTTTTGTCCAAAACCCTGATACTTCAAAAGAGGTTGTCCATTTTGTACACGAAGTGCATCTAGTTTTTGCCGCAACCCTCTCAATTTTTTAGAACATTCTATGTGGATGAAATGATGATATCATGCCAACTGTCAACCTTTTCAAATTTCATTTGTAGTGCTTTTCAATTTCAGGGTCGTTTAGCTAAAAAATCAGTAAATGCGTGAAAAATAGCAAATGAAGTCAGAAATGGTTGAAAATTGATGACATGGCTTTGAATGGTGCATACCAAACACACAAAAAGTCTGGAGTTGAACGGTGCATAATATTTGTTTGTACATTGTATTTCTTCGCATTTCAAATGCCAAAACACACAAGTACCC